TGCATGGCAGGCAACGGTCAAGAAGACAAAGAACATCCCTAACAAAGAACATCCCTAAAGAACATCCCTAAACCGAAGTCACTACTTTTTGTTTTGTTCGTTGCAGTTTGCTAAATTATTGTTTTTTTACAAAGCATTCACTACTAAACAAATGGCTGCATGTAGAGCTTCCCACACATAATGATATATGTTCATTAATACGGGTGGCGGAAATGACGTACGGTACCGCTAGAATGTATCTTACTCCTTGATTTTTAGAGAGAGTTGGCTCATCATTTATAGAGCGATCAACTGCCAGTGAAAATAACATTTTATTATCGTTGTGCATACATATTATGTTTGATCAGTGACTTCATTTCGTCAAAAGTAAAGACGGTATTGTTTTTCCTTATCAGCTAACTAAAGTCTGTTAGAGTGAACGTAACATTGGCCTCATCCCTTCACACAGTAGAGGCGTGTGAACAAACGAAATGAGGCAATTTATTGGACTGAAATTCATTACTCAATCAAAATTGTCTCTACTCTCAATTTGGAAATTTACTAACAGCGTTATTTATAGGAAATAATCACATATTTTGACATTATTTATGTAGCCACCACTCAGCTTCATAATTGTATTTTCCAGTGATCGGATTCGCACTTCAATCAATGTGCTTGGTGATGCGGTAGGGGCAGGAATCGTCGACCATTTATGTCGAAAGGAACTTGCGGAGAAAGATGCCGAAATCGATAGAGAGCTGGACATGGCTGTGGAGGAATACAGCAAGCACATTTCCTTACCATCATCTCCTGTCACAAATGATGGCATCAGCCCCAGTGGATTTGAAGGTCGACGCTTTAGCAAAAAGCGGATCAGTGTTGCAGCCGCAATGCGGCTTCAAGAAAACGCATCTCCATTATCTTCCTCGATAACGCCAGGCTCTATCTTGGAACATTCAAACGCAATTGCAATGCGCACCATTTCGACGGGGGACCCACCGGGGGACATAACATTATAATATAAACTTGATGTTATTAATTTGTTTTTAAACCTATCGCAAAATTACTAGTGCTCCAGCCAAGATGATGTACTGTAGAGCAACTTGCGTCATTTTAGCAAGTTTACGCATTCTGTCCGGATGCAATCCCACTTGACCTTTTGCACATTACATTAGTCCAACGCTCTTCATAGTCACCCACCGCATCAAGCAAACAATATCTCAACGTCAGTTACCCGTTTGTGCACATTTTATGAGTATCATTTACTTTAGCCTCAGGTGGCTTGTAATCTAGATTTTTATTATCCCAAATTGATTCATTTACTTGTTACAGTCGAATTTCAATGTGTTCAGATGGAAATAAGAATGTGCTTAGTATAACATTGCTCGTTTTTTCACATTCAGTTGAAAGTAAATTCATATATGATATATCAATCATATAACCCTATTTAGACCACGCCCAAGGAATGTGTAAGAGAATTAATTTCAACGGCCTTTCAAGTCATCATCAGTGGCAAAATGTACGTTGTTTTCAGATATCGCATTGCTCTGGCCCCGGAAGAACACCATAGTAACTACCAGCTACACCGCTTCCATATACACCTACAGTTTGGCCTAACTTACTTTGGGCAAGAGAAACTCAGAGTAGCTCATGATAAGCATTCGTTGGATGCAAACTGTTTTTGTAAACATCAGAGTAAAATTTAGGCGCGAGCCGATATGGCCTTACCAGTTTATGGACAACAAAATGGTCTTTTTTCACTTATCATAATTACATTTTCAGAAGAGTAAGAATTAATGTGCTTTAGCCTATCGGTCTTTATCGAACTTTGATAAATACGGTAAACAGATAAAAGCTGGTAATAGCATGCATTTCCTTTTGACTTCCAACTGTAATCATCAATAAACATTAAAATCGTTGACAGCTATCATTGGATGTAAACAGACTAGCCCGAATTGCAGAGTAAATGACGGATGTACTGAGGAGCCAAAACAAAATGTATGAATCTTTTCTCTTCTTACCCAGATTGTTTTCAAATTGTTGAAAAGAAAATATTTCTTTAAATTTAACCAACGACTAACTCCTGCTAAAACTGTCAAGTTGCATCACCGAATATTTCGTCTGAGGTGCAACATCTTCTTCGTGCGTGTTCAAAATATTTTCTCTCAAAATGCATTCTCGGTCAGTGCTTGCACGGTACTAGTCAAATCAAGCCAAAATGTGCTTTATGCACCAATATCGGCTCATTTTTAACAATTCCCTAAAGCTATGGATATAATGTAACAATGAGAATGCAAGCATTTGAATATAGGATGTGGTCTCATTGGTCGGATTTGTAAGGGCTGAATTTAAAGTCAACTGAAGCCCCAATTGAGATTGCTTGTCGCAAACCAAGGATGATCTTGTGCCTAAAATCTTCACGTTTAAAAACAGAGAGTGCTACACTGCAAATATAAAAACATCAAACAAGCACACGGTCAAGCGAGCGGTACTCCATCCTAGGTGGATCTAGTACTGAAATTGAAAAGTAGAGTATTGTACAGTTACGACAGGACGCTGTGCGAGAAAAAACTTTAAATATCTGTCATGTAGATAAAGGCTAGGATTGTGTGCAGTGGGTGAAAGAGATCATTTCTAATCATGCACGAAAAGTAGTTACAACGATCGAAATGCTCGATGCCAATAAAATTAACGAGTGCTTCTTTCCATTCTTCCAGAGAAACGTGTAATGAGTTTAGCTAACGGACAGCAAGCTCATCATTTTTTGAAGCAGTCCGATGGAAATAACATCTAAATTGTAAAAGAAGTGTGGTAGAACATTTACAGTTGCTAATATTAGAATTGCATGGGTAGAAATTCGTCAGACAAACAGACAGACAGCCTTCAAACGCCCAGAAAACAATGTACGCGCGTTCCGTCCTTTCGGGAAACTTCAGGAGGGCGCATTCCATTGGGCCATAGTAGGTCTCGAACAAGCAACTCGACAATTACCAATCCTTGGTTGTGACCACTGAGCTATGTGGGAAGGCAACGACCATCTTGAATTAGTTAGTAGATGTGATATAGTGCCGATCACTATCCACTGACTTACGCTGTACTGCGGTGCAGAGGACTGGGTAGCCCCCTCACCCTCTCTACTAATCCTCTGTAATTTTAGAACTGAACCACGAAAAACGGTAAACAGTTTGTGCTTGAGAGTATAAAAGTGGAGCATTCTGTCTTTAGGAATATTTAAAGATATCTGTAGGATGAGTTAAAGTTTGTGCCTAGGAAACCCCAAAATAATATAAGGTAGAAAAAAGCTTTAGGTTTTATTCCACGACAAGAAAGATGGGATATACACTAAAGAAACCGCAGTCGTTTAGGACGTAGTAAACAAAACGTTTAGCGGAAAGCCTTGATAGCCAGAGAAAAAGAACTGTTATCACTGTCATCTCATTAGCTCATGTAATCCACGGTGAAGTTTCATAGGGTCCTCGATGATTAAATCTATGCACCTTAATAAGACTTCATCGGCATATCTATCGCCACTGACGTTCGATGGGATGCGGGGTGTTTCGACGTAGACGGAATATAGGAATAACTATAGGATGGCTCTTTGCGACACAGCACAGTAAGCTTTTAGTGCAGATGAGTGTCTGCCGCATAGCTGCGTGAAGGATGTGCGAAATGTAATTAATCGCGCAACACAATACGCACATATATGATGCTACTTTCAGATAAAATGTTGGGCAGTAAGAATCTGTCGAGAATCCCAGGGGCGTTGGTTTATTCGAAATAAATAAACCAAATGTTCTTGCATTTTTAAATAGCGCGCACGCAATGGAATGCACCAGGTGTAGAACAATAAAAAATGTAAAGCGCACTGCTTTATGGGTAAACTTTGCGACATCAGCAATATTAGTAACTGCAAAAATGCGGATCAACAATTTTTAGTACATACTTGTAAGCATTTATTGCCTGAAAATACTGGGATTTATGTATGCACTAGTGATATTCTGGCTGAAGTCCGAATGTGGGGGAGGGTACCCGTCGCACGGCACTCACTCAATATATCTAGTACGCTCTTTTAGAGTTAATGCTTATACAGCATCTGGGCAGTTAAACTTGTTTGGTTTTTGTCTTGTGAGCAAAGAATAAACAATTGTGAAAGAAAAAAATTGGAATGTTTAGCGGCGCTGAAGGAATATGGATGTTCGTCATGCGATGAAGAGTTGAAATCATCGTTAAGTTTGTCTACCTATTCAGTGCTGTGTGCTGCAAAATATTATCAGGAGAATTGTCTGGGGAATTTCACAGATCACTAAATTGGTTTGCTTAAAACGTTTTGCGTATACAGAGTGCTTAAAGTTCTTAACTCCGTTTTTATAACTACGGCGACACTTTAATCGCGAGCGGTTGGCTTGCGCTTACAACCCTGTTCTTCTCCCTTTGCAATTGGTAAGCAAACGGAGATGGATATCGGATATTTCACATACATATTCTCTTGATGAGGCAAACCAAATCAAAAACAGAAGTCAAAATGGTAAGTGAGGTGCGCACATAGAAATGAAAAGTCTTCATTAGTGTAGGTAAAAATCTGGTGAACGAATTGTTGATTTGTACTTTTCGTTGTTACAGGTTGAACAGTTCCGTTGTTTAACAGTTCTGGATGATCTTTCGTGAGTACAACAGGGTTGGACATACCTTATAAATTGGGACTTATATTTATATTACTAATGAGTAGGTGGATGTTGTAGTTGTAATTTAAATGCTCATATGCTGCTCAAAGCTACACAGTACAGCCTACTCCGGAAAATAAGCAGACGCGTTTCGCCCTATTGGGGCTCATCAGTAGTGCGCATTCCCTCGGTTCCCTTTTGGGGGTGGAACCCATGAGCGCTGGAGGCAGATATCAACTAGCCAGCAGCTTAAGCCACTGAGCCATGGGGGACGCCGTCTAGGCTACACAGTTTGAAGGTTAACTGGGATATAGCAGGACCTATCTCCAACTTCCACGTAGGTTACTACCTTAGCAGATGACAGTAGCTAGCCTCCGAAGGTCATAACTTTTTCTGACTAGAGGCTACGTCCGTAGCGACATTTTATACCACTAATGAGTAGGTGGATTGTTTAATTGTAATTTATATTTGTACGATGCATTGGTTGGAATTACCAAATGATGCAGACCTTTGTGTGAGAATACCTGGTGTTTAAATTTTAAAAGCTTCATAAAGAAGCACCTTGATTCAGGTGGGTAAATTTTCCAAACGGACGCAACCTCAGTTATTGTTGAATGATACGTCACTGAAATACAAATCGCAGAGCAACGCAGCTGGAAGCTACTGAGATTGGTTTGCAACTCAATGGTAAGTGGACATACAAAAGAATTTGGCTGGAAAAGCGCTGTATCGAAAACCAGATGCGCGTTCCTAATTGCGAAATTTAGGTGCCCATTAGAAACCATGGTTTGCGTTCCAACTGGTTGCAGCTTATTCTTGCAGTTAAGTACTCTAAGATTTTTAAACTTATTGGCATCTATCCTTGTGGGTGATGAAAACCCCTTCGCGATTTTGGTGCTTCTTTGGACAAACGGATATAATATGGCAGTTGCCACTGCATATAAAGTCTTAGTCAAAAATATCAACATACAACCTAATGTCTTGTAATAGCAATGTACCGATATTCATAAATCCACTTTACAGTTTGGCGTTTGCGACGTCAGCAATATTCCTGCGAAGTTTTCGCACATCGTTGGTCATTATTAGCGTAATTTTATCGTCTTGACGGGACGGTGGGTAACTCTAGCTTTACAGCCAGTCAGCGCAATACCTTTCTTTAAACTTTTCGTTGCGAAACTTTTGAGGATATTTCTGTTTTTGTGAGCATGCTCAACCAGGAGCGATTTTCGCATTATTCCAACAGTAATTCAAATTAGCAACAAGGTTTGACAACATTATTAACCACGATATTGCTTCATTCAAACAAATGGTAAAATTGCATTTTAAACACGAAGCATCCGTAGTGTGTACTGAAGAAT